TCAGCCACAAGGGTGTATTTTTCACCTTTATAACATCACACAGTTGGATGGAAAAGAAGGCCTGGAAGAATGAAAAATCTTCCAGGCCTCTTCCCTTGATCTGTGCCAGTATACTCTCACTTGAGGAGGAGTGAGAAGGCCTGGGATCAAGGCTACTTTTCGTTTGAAGCATGGCCTTACCCTGGCCTTACCCTCAGCAACGACTTCAGATATTTTTCACAGTATCCAGATGTCCAGTCAAAGTCAACTATTAAATCTAACCCTTTCAATCAATCCTACAATGTTGTCATTTAATGTCCGTGTCGTATCTCTCTTTAAACATGCAGTTCGTGTATAAAAGGCGAAACACTGGTGCGGTCAAGTCTCATTTTTGACATTTTGTGAGATTCTCCAACACCGGTGTTTGCCTATTTATACGCAGAGTCTGGAGTGTTCGGAATGTGCATTTTCCTACGTATTTACATGGCAACTGCACGTTTAAAGTGAGTGCTATTGCCTCATTCACTTTAATTACCTCATAGCACACTGTTGTTCCCTCATCTGATGTTAGCAGTTTTGCTGCTGCCTCACTTGTGTTCATGCTGCCTGCTCTGTGTACGTATATCCTCACAGAGTACAATATCATACAGTACAGAGTAGAATATCAGACCTGCATGAGTATGCTCCCCCTGGACCTGCCCCAGGTGGGGTGTTAGATAAAGGGCACATCCAGTTGTAGTGTGCATGGTCATTTAATATCCTAAACTGAGCACTGACACTGATTGTGAAGGCATTAAAATACCCATTGTTTGTCTGTTAGATAATCCTTGGTTTTGTGTGCAGTCTTCTGTATTTCATATTGTTATTATAGTGTTGTTTCCTTTTGTAGGTGCGGTTAAAGTCTGAACCTACCAAAGCATTTGCTCTGAAGTGCCTTCGAAAAAAGCACATAGTAGACACTCGACAACAGGAACACATCTTCTCAGAGAAAAAAATTATGATGCAGTCCAGATGTGCCTTTATAACCAGGTATTTAGCATACGTTATTTACTATCATGGAATAAGTTCTCGGTGCAATGAAAACTAGAAAACTATAGTACAGCCTGAAAGCTTTTTACGAAACGCATAATTACCCATTCAAACATAAAAATGAAAGTTCCGGTGAAGTATCCTACCGCAATGCCGCGCGCGGGCCGTGAGGTACCGTTGAAGTACTTCACAAGTAGTACTGCACTAGTAGCACGCTAGCTGCGTACTTCGGAGGCACCAGAAGATGCAACGCAGGGCGTGTATCGCCTCTCGCATGCTATCTAGTAGTGTAGTTAGCCCGCGTCAGACTCTGCGCGAGCTGGCAAGAGACCACGAGTAACAGCTAAAACTAAACCCTGCCCATCAATTAGTAGTACGGCGCATGCGTTTACTTACGCGTGCGCGTCACAGTGCGCCGAGGGTTTGCATTTCAGTGCTTTTCATTTACTTTTTTGACTCATACTGTATGTTTTAGAGTAACACCAGGCCAACACACAAACTGGCAAACTTGCATTATGTGCAAAGCTAAATTTGAACAGAATGACCACACAAATGTGTGATATATTTCATTGGTAGGTTGCTTTCATGTCATAGGGCCAAAATTAAACACACATATATACATTCTTGATCCTAAATATTCTCATCAATCGACAAATCCTAGACTATAGTTCCCCTGCAGAATTGTTTCTATACAAGTATAGTACCTGACCTACTGGTACCCTCTGCAGGCATAAATATACGATCAAAATACTCCCCCTTCTGCCTCGGACCATCACGTAAACACTCTCCTTGACAACCTCCTTTACCGGCCACTCCCCTATCCTTGGTATTCTGAGCCTTAACTAATACACATAGACAGTAATGAATACAGGGACTTTACAAAATAACATCAGAGCAGACAGAAGAAATGGTAGAAACATGCAGGTCAGGAGGAAAAGAGAAAGGACCAACTTCCATCCTGGAGTCGAACTCATGCGTCGTTAATGGAAGAAGTTGAACCGAGAGTTTACAATTTAGTGCTGGTTTAATGAAAAGCACTAAAGTGCAAACCCTCGGCGAAGTAGCTCGCAGAGAGTCTGACACGGGCTAGCTACAGTAGTAGATAGCACGCGAGAGTCGATACACGGCATTCGTTGTGACTTCTTGTGCCTTCAAGATAGACAGAGCAAGCAGACCAGGTCGAGGTACGCCTGTGCTAAATATAAGCGCATGCGCATTATCCGCTAGCGATAAAATGGCAACTACCGGCATTAGCCATACAATGCTGGAAGCGCTCTAGCTTTACAAAGCGAGTACATTTTAACTAACTAGGGCAACACTTTTTTTTCAAGAATAGGAGCTACCCCAGGTGGGACTCACACCATGACACGCTAGACTAGTCATATACCACTGAAATACCTGCTGAACACGAGTCAAAAATTGTGTCAAATATAATTTGTGAAACCTACACCATTGCAATTGCCATTTACACAGTTGCATTCACAACCTTGAAGATATAAAGGTTGAATTAATGAATAATTTTAACGTACCATTAAGCGCCAGGGTAGCTCTCTCTGGCACACCGTTTGTTTCAAAAATGATTCATTCACTCTTATGCTCATACACCGAGTAAAAGCTCACTTTTTGTCTTATCAAATTGTAGATTTTTTCAATATTTGATTCGATTTGGTTATTCCGTTCAATCTGTCGTCAATCGTCCTGCAGTGCACCACTTACCATGCGCGCATCTCGCATGGAGGTACCCACTGGACCTAGCCTGGGAAGGTGCAGATCTACCTCTTCTTGATCCCCATCACCACGACAGGTCCAGGTGGCTCTTCCATGCGAGATGCGTGCATGGTAAGTGGCGCACTGAATAGAGTGCAGGACTAGCGACGACAGGAGAATAACTCAACGGATCGAATCAAATATCAGATCAAATTGAATATCAAACCGAATCAAATATTGAAAAAATCTAAAATAATTCGATAAGACAAAGAGGGAGCAGCTTTTACTCGGCACTACGTGAGCATAAACGTAGTAAATCATTTGTTAAACAAACAGCGTAACGTAGCTCACTGGTCACCCAGTTCTATGAATGATGCAAGATTGATGAATGAACAACGATACAGAGAAAATAAGTTGAGGGTAGGAACGGCTGAGCAAGAATATAAGTTTGTGGAAACGATATTGAGGGAAGAGACTTGAAGCAGTAGTTTCCATTTGTTGCCTGATCAACGAATATTTTGGACAGACACGCAAAATGTGGTGTTCGTCCTCATTCTGTGACAGACTGTACAGAATTGATCAGTGACCGGAAGAGGATTTGGCTCAATTGCCAGTGAATAGGAACAGGTTCGTATGTTGCCATGGCTGTTCCATACTTTTGGTTGTGATAGATATTTAGCAAGTAAGGTTACAATTTACAAAAATATTTTCTATGGGTCTGTGTTCTCTTTGTAGATATTCCGCCTACTCTTGGATGAACTGATCTCTCAGTGTACGCATTATTTGATTCCCGAGGGAGGGCTCACACTCATACAGATAAGAAAAACGCAGCACAGCCGGGATAATGGGGATGCACCACCACCCAGCCCGAATCTAAGTACGCATGTGCGTTTGCAAGCACATCCACGGGCCGGGCACACATTCAGCTAAAGACAGTGCCAAGTCAAAGAGCATGTTGCCTTGCGGGGTATTATGGTAAGATGCATCAAAAGATATGGCGCCAGTGTTCAGAGTCCTTTACAAAGTCCCGGGCAACCTGAAGTGAATCAAGTTTACCTACCACAACAAGGATGAGCTCTACCAGTTTAACCACCTCTGATAAATACACCAGAATGCAATTAATGATATCAGGCACACGAGCATTGGTCACTCCAAGATCGGTCCAAGACGGATCACATCAAAGCTCTTCAAGAGCTATAATGGTAATACCTGCCAACACATGGCCTTCTGGCTACAGTAAAAATTTTGGTTGGATTGCCGGGTACAAGACCTCGCATATGTATCCTGTGCTACTGTGTCACGTTTATTCTTAAAATGGATAACAGCAATGGATCAATGTTTACACCACCTGATTTTGTGGCCAATCTTTACAGAAAACCATGCCAGAATGCTTCCGAGCCTCATTTGGGACTAAGGTTGCAGTCATCTTGAAATATTTATTGAGCGTCTGTCCAACCTTAAGGCAAGGGCGTCGACATGGTCGTCATATGACTACCATAATATGGTCAGAATCTTACTTGGGATTGCACCACAGGGGGTCGTATGATTTGTTTCCGAACCGTGGGGTGGCTGCGTGAGTGATAAATACCTCACTGAACAGTGTGGCATACTGGACAAGCTACTACCTGGGGATATCGTCGTAGCTGGCAGATAGTATTTCTGAATCTGTTGGAATGATGCAGGCAAACCTTCATATTCCAGCAGTCACCAAGGGTAAAATCCAGCTGTCAGCTATTGAAGTAACAGAAACAAGGACAATTGCAAATGTTCGAATACACGTCGAACGTGTCATTGGAACTGTGAGCAGAAATATTCAATTCTTCAAAGTACCCAACCTATCCACTATGTCATGAAAAGAGATGGAGAAGAGTGCCCAGTTATTAATCGGATTGTGTGTGTGTTGTGGTCTGTGTAATGTTTGCAATTCTGTGTGGTACAATACCATGTATTATCATTTCACAATGTATGTAAAAATAACCAGAATGATAGTCAAAATTTTTTCATTGCTTATTACTTTAGACTTGCACACCCTTTTGCAGTACCATTTTCCACAAGGAATTGTATCAATCATAAGACAGGTGGTATGAAACCACTCTATTGTACATTCATCATTATCACACCCAAACATTCTTCCTTCCTTTAGTCCACCACCTCAAGCGATGTATGTGCTTTGAATTGCTGCGCCATCTATTGTTTAAGCAGAGGATACAATCATCAGCTGTGTCATGAAACGTTTTGACCAACCTGGTTACAAACAATACAGCATACTTGACTGCAATGAGCAGTGAAATCGATCAAGAAATGAAGATTTTGCTGATAGCAGCTAAACTTGTCACCCAGCTAGCACTGATGAGGCAGCAAGTTACATGCGAAAGAGTGACCAATGCTTGTGTGCCTGATATCATTAGTTACATTCTGGTGTATTTATCAGAGGCGGTTAAACTGGTAGAGCTCATCCTTGTTGCAGTCTTCGACGGTAAAAGCCTACATGCGTACATCAACGACCAAGAGGCACCTAAACCATCTTCTTTTGCTGCATGTTCACAAGGACAGTTGTGACAAACTTTATCTACTTCAGGTTGCCCGGAACTTTGTAAAGGACTCTGAACACTGGCACCATATCTTTTGATCCATCTTACCATAATACCCCGCAAGGCAGCATGGTCTTTGACTTGGCAGCTGAATGTGCATATTGTAAATTAAACCCGGCCTGTGGATGTGCTTGCAAACGCACATGTGTACCTAGATTTGGGCTGGGTGGCGGTGCATCCCCACGATCCCGGCTGTGCTGCGTTTTTATTCTCTGTATGAGTGTGAGCCCTCCATCAGGAATCAAATAATGCGTACACTGAGAGATCAGTTCATCCAAGAGTAGGCTGAATATCTACGAAGAGAACACAGTGAGGTGGCTAAACTACGGACCCATACAAGTTTTTTTGTAATTGCTTGGTGATAAAGTTGATGTTGAACTCCGGAGTGAGTTGAAGCACACCCTCAACCGATGCCACCAAGTCGCTTGAGGGGTGGTACGGTCTGGATTACTTCACTTGGGCAGCTTCCAAAGGGATCCAAGAAATTAATCACGACTATTTTTCCTTATATCGCCTCTTGGTTCTGAGCGTAAATTGACAGGCTAGGTTCAGCTGCGTCATCCATCCCACCACGTATTCGAGTGCACCAGCTGTACATCAACATGGCGGCTGCGCTTGCGCGGATTGATTTGGATCACGTGATGACTATAGTTTTCCATGGATTGTGTACTGGTGTTACGTACAGGTTTTTCTTACCTAATACTCGAGAGTATCATTCATTTTATTGATGCTGAAAGACGTATTCAGTGGGTCATAGACGACCACCTGAACGTTATAGCTCTTCGACAGGTGAGATATAGTGCAGCAGCCAAGATGAATTTCAAACAAGAATAGTAAAGGAGCTCAAGGGTTGTGTACCACATATTGTTAAATTTCTTCAATTCAGTCATTTGGATGTGTTGGAGCCAACATCTGTCTCGACTATCATAGCCTAAGAACATGCAGCTTTCGTTGAACTCCGGAGTGAGTTCCTGAACTGAAGCACACCCTCAACCAACAACCTATCAGAAGTAAGTTGTATCATCTTTGAAGGCATCATCACATCAGCTTTACCTGTTACGGCTTCTACAGCATCTGAAGCTGCCGTTCATTACCCATGATGATTCAAACATCAATAACTATGCTGCCCGTGCTGAATATGTGTAGAAAAGTTTACAATGCTGTGAGTCGTTCTTCTAGGCCAATTTAATTTGCCTGTATAAAAGCTCTGCTGAAAGAGGAAGGTGAAGGGGAAGTAGAATCTTAGTCAGCCAAATGGGTGAAAGTGGTAGACAGAGGAAGTTTTTAGGTAGTCCAAGAGGGTACTTTGCAGCCGTGAAAGAAGAGGTTCCGGAGCATTTCCAATTCGACACTATTGAAGATGCCAAAGGAAGGATACCGAGAGGGAATATCTACTGCAGACCACTGTTGAGGCCTAGCACCATAAAGAGGAACATCGACTTGCCAGTGGCTTGGTTAGATCAGTGCCACTCTCCGATAGCAATATGTGCATCGATATCCCCAGATCAGCGAATCCAATAAATTCACCTAAAATGTGTACAATACAAACACTTAAATGGTAGCATAGCGCGCTAAATAAACTTACATGCATGCATAGTGCGCACCTGTGAATTTATTGTACACAAGATCCTCTCTAATGTGCATTTCATCAAGAAGGACAACAATGCACTCCCACTCGGGGCATTTTGTGAGCTCAGCTGCATCAACAGTTGCTGGTCGACAGCAGTCAAGAAACCAGATCGTGCCCTTGCTATGTGAGTCTAGTCTCTCAGCATTCTCTGAAAAGGGAGAGAGATGCACCCAGACTTTCGTAGAGCCTCGTAGCACCCTCTTGAGAGATGTCGTAGTTTGATTATGAGTGGGTGCCACCTCATTCCTGAAGATGTTTATAGAGCTGCTTTCTTCTGCTGATCCCAAAAGATATGACTGAATGAGTCAGGAGGATAGTTCTCATGAACGGAACTCTCGTTCTTAGCCATGATGGATACCAAACTCCCTTTAGCATCCTGTGACACAACCTTACCAATAGCTGTTGTAGCTTCACTGAGGCGTGTTTACAGCCAGTTCACTTATCTGTACATGTTCGTAGCACTTGATGCACCTTTTTGACAATCTTTGGTGTTGTCAGGAGAGGAGAGGTGCATTTAGTTGCGTGTCCAATCTGTTGCGGCTGTTTTGTTTTTGTTGATCTGAGCTGCAATTGCATGCAATGCATTTCGGTGACCCTGCATGGTTAAAACTCTGCCCCTTCAACGACTTTGTCACAGTTCCTGTGGGGAATTGTCGGATGGTCGACTAGCTGGGTCTCAACATAAGCTGAGCGATAAGAAACTAGAAAATAAGAAGTGTATTACTATAATGGTACTTATGCGCCCTTCAGAAATTTTGCTTGCAACAACAGTTCTCCAAATTTTCCATCATTATTCCCCTTACATATGTGCCATTGATCAAGCCGTCAAAAAAGTGAGAGAACTACAGCAATAACCAGTGAGAGAACTGCAGCAACTGACTCCAACTGCTGTGGTATAGACCTGACCAGACCCCTCGGATTTTTTATCAACTCCACTGGATGACAGAGTCCATGACATGCCGTCCAATACTGTGAGGCACAAGAGCAGCTGAGGGAAAGAGCGAGAGAAGTCCAGCTTGGTGAAGTGTAGCACACTCGCTGTGAATGCCTGTGTATATCCTGATTCAGGCAACATAAGTGGAGTTGATGATATCAGCTGCAGGTGGGATAGCATCAGTGGTCGTAAGTCTCTGGTCTAGTCTCTTGATACTGCAGACTGCAGCAACAGTAAAGATGGCCGGTGGGATGGACAAAGCATAGGTGGAAGGCTCAGCATCTTATCTCTGCTTCCTGTATGTCCCTAGCTGCAGCTTTTTGGGAAAGATGAGGGGTGAAGTTGCAGATGATGAGAGTGGGGGGTATATTTCAGTCCCTGGTGCAAAATGATACACGGTTTCTATCTGTGTCTACACAACACACAATGTTTCACATGGAAAGAAAGTTGTTTATTGTCATGTGTGCATCCTTGTCTGGCGTTGCGGAAAGCTGACCTTCTCGAAAAATACTGAGGTATCTTTTCATCAGCAGAACTGGTCTTTTTGGTACTAGTCTTGCTGATAGTGACATGTGGAAACTACGAGGTAGGCACAACAAACAAATCAACTACAAGTTTTCATATGTCACATATCAGCAAGACTAGTACCAGTTCTGCTGATGAAAAGATACCTCAGTATTCTTCGGTCAGCTTTCCGGAACGCCAGGCAAGGATGCACACATGACAATAAACAACTTTCTTTCCATGGTCCCAATGCAGCCTCTTCCAGGAATCAAACTCCTTTGTATCAAATAAATATCCTTTTCGGACTGATTTTGGACTGACTGACAACAGCATGATGGGTTGTGCTTTGACCCTCCTTTATAATGATCCCAACTTACCACCATTACTTAACAACTTACCAACTACCACTAGAATTTGTTGAATAATGTCAGCATTTATTCTAGAGCTCTCTTTAACTTATAGTTTCTCTACCCTTTGGACGCCATGGGGATCTCCTTAAATAAGCAGAAATTGATGTATAAAGTATTAGCGCCTAGTATTATAACCCCCATATAAATTCTTGTGGACTTATGGAGGCTCTTGACACATTTATGTGTCGGTGGCTGGTTAAGTGTTAACTGTGGTTAGCCTCTGATCTCTCAAAATTTATGTCCCTTTCTAACACACAATACAAGCAGAAAGCAGAAATTGATGTATAAAGTATTAGCGCCTAGTATTATAACCCCCATATAAATTCTTGTGGACTTATGGAGGCTCTGGACACATTTATGTGTCGGTGGCTGGTTAAGTGTTAACTGTGGTTAGCCTCTGATCTCTCAAAATTTATGTCCCTTTCTAACACACAATACACTTCTTGCTGTACATTGCCAGCACATTCGTGGATATCACACAAATATTATTAAAGCCAATGCTCTTTATTCTCTAGGCTTTATAGGACATTTCGGTGCAGTAAATATATGTACATGATGCTTGAAGTGTGCTTGGGAGGTGAACTTTGGACCATACTTAGAGACAGGTAAACACAAACAGGTTTTTAATTGTACCAGTATGATCTACGCTTATGTGTGCAGAAATTACTTTGATGACAATATCACAAGGTTTTGTACAGCTTGTGTCGTTGAAGCCTTTGACTACCTTCACAGCAGGGATATTGTCTACAGAGACCTGAAGGTCAGTTTCTGCTATTAGCACTAAAGTGCAAACCCTAGGCGCATTTGCACATGCGCGGTACCAGCTAATTCATGGGTTGGGCCAAGACTATGCGTTTACTCATGGTCTCCACACTAGTAGCTTGCGGAGAGTCTGACACGGGCTAGCTACACAAGTAGATAGCATGCGGGAGGCCCTTCGTGTGTCTTCGTGAGCCTCCAAAGTACACAGAGCGAGCGGATTAGGTCGAGATGAGCCCAGTGCGAGTATGCATCGTTTTCGCTTGTTTTCACGGCATATCTCTCGAACGCAGTCGTTTCAGGAAAATCGCCAGGCTCGCGTAGTTCTGAAGCTGCTGGTATCACTAATAGACCGCCTCGTGGCCTGTAGTGCCAGAATAAGCGTCGACACACATACACAGAAAAAAAAACGGTTAACAACTAAAGCCCTCGGCGAACTGCTCATGCGCGAAGCCGCTAGACCTGCTCCGTTTTCGAAATGACGGTTCCCTCCCGGCGGTGCTGTAAGTGCAACAGGACCGCCTAGTGTGTTCGTTGTGCCTGCGCCAAGAGCTGTAACCCCTGCTCGTGCTGTTTACCGGGGGAATGTCAGAACAGGGGACAGAACCGAGGCCAGAACTACTCTTTGATGACCACGCCTCTCTCTTCTACCGCCCTTGCCTCCTCTCGGGTCCGACCTTCCTGGTCCTCTCGGGTTTCCCCCGTGCAGTCCGTGACCTCCGACACTGCCGTTCTCCCATCCGTGCCTTCAACCTCAACCACCTCTCGTCCATCTGCCCCTCCTCCCAATCTCTCATCTTCCATGCCACAGCTGGGGGGTTGCAGTCCGCAACCAACAACCATGTGGCCCCTCGCGGTGTGTCCGGCAGCGCCCACTCATCCGCGCCTCCCACCGTACCCCCTCGACCTCCATTCCGCCGCCCTTTTCTTCTGCCTCCCACCTGTGGATTCTGTCCTGCGCCTGAGAGTTTCAACATGTCCCCAAGGCCATTGGAGACTCTTGGGCCCTACCCCTAGGTGATGTGCTCTCTGAAGTGGCGGAAAACCCTTCACAGATCGGCCCTTGGTGTAAGCTTTTCAAATGTGTATTAGCAAACCCTCCCAGAGGAGGCCGGTCTCACTGGCGTGACACCCTCAAACTGATCCAGTCTCGGATTCAGAAGTGGAAGGATGGAGACCTGTCGGGTCTGTGGTCTGATATTACTGCTAGTGTTAGGGGCCTAAGTCGAATGCTCTTACTCAGTCCAACCTCCTCCTTGACAACCAAACCGTACCCAGTTGTTGTGATGTTCAACTGGGAGACCCCCTCGGTCCTCTGGAGTTCGCCCTTGTCCTCCACCCCATTATTGAAGATCAGAGAGTCTGTCCCCGGCCTTCTTATAAACGTTTGGTACCTCGAGGATGGTACCCTTTGTGGCAGCCAACAGGATCTTGCTGCGGCTCTCACCATCATCGAAGCTGAAGGTCCTCCACGTCCTGAAGGTCCTGTTCCTGAATAGGGGCAAATCCTTCATCCATGCTCCGGCTAACTCCACCATAACCCATCCCCTCCTCCTCGGCATCCCCACCTCATCAGATGGTTTTACTTTGTTGGGCTCCCCAATTGGTCCAACCACGTTCTGCGAAGCCATTTTCTCTAAGAGGGTCAGCAAAATCGAGGATACCCTCTGTAGACTCGAGGACTCACAGATGGAGACCACTCTACTCCAATCATGTCTGGCTCTTCCCAAGGTTTCCTATGTTCTTCGCACCTCCCCCCCAGCCCTCATCCGAGAGGCCTTAGGATCATTTGACCGCATTATGCAAGATGCCCTCTCTGATCTCGCCGGGGGCCCACTACCCGATTGGTCCTGGGAAAAGCCTCTCTCCCTTCGTCGCTCGGTGGGCTGAATCTTCGTCAAGCCTCCTTACATGCCCCGGTTGCCTATATTGCTTCCTTCCTTCAATGCAGACCCCTAATATCAAGCATTGTGGGGCACACTGCCATGCCCCCTGTCCACCTCCTTGGCGCCATTAGGTCCCTGGCCCTGGCCTCAGCAAGACCTGACTGGTCTTCCATGCAGGGTATCGATGTTCCCCGCAGTCAACACAGCCTCTCTCGTGCTATTGACGAGGCATCTTTTGATCCTTGTTGGATTCAGCTCTCAGTGTTCGCTCCAAAGCCCTGGCCCTTTCGTCCACAGTTCGTCATGCAGGTGGCTAGTTAAACGGCCCATCCTCAGCCCTGGGCCTCCACCTTTTCGATCGGGAATTCCGATTCTGCCTGCGGTACTGGTTGGGTCTCCAGATGTTCGAGGAGAGTCTTAGGTGCCCATTTTGTCATGCCGTGGCCGACCCCTTTGGGGACCATCAAGTGGGTTGTGGAGGAAACTGTGATAAATCCTCCGACATAATTCCCTTCGGGATGGAGTTTTTTCAGCAGCTCAGTCAACTGCCTTGGCGCCCAAAAGGGAAGTCCCCTCTCTAGTCCCCGGCACCCAGAGCTGGCCTGCCAACATCCACCTCCCCTGCTGGAAAAGAGGCCACCTTGCTGCCTTGGATGTCACTGTCATCTCCACATTGCAGCAATCAACTGTTCGGGGTTCTGCAAAAAATCAGGGCCACGCCCTCTTGGTTGCCGAGAAGAGAAAGTTTCCTTCCTACGGTGCTACCTGCCAGGCCGTTGGCATAACTTTCATCCCCCTCGTCATAGAGTCCCTAGGTGGTGTGAGTGACATGGCTGACACGATCTCCAGCCTTGGCCGTCTTTTGGGCCAGCGTTTGGGGATCTCCCCGGTTGAATCGACTCGTCTTCTCTACCAAAAGCTCGCAATATCTCTCTGGAGGGGAAATGCATCCGCCTGGATTCACCGTTGTCCACAACTAACTCCCTCTTTAGATAGTGTCTTTTCAAATGCCTGTTTGTGTTGTTTTGTGTATTCTTTTTTTTTTCCTGTTTTTTTCTGTTACTTGTTTTTTGTTCCTATCGTACGTATAGTATGTTCTTTTTCTTATTTTTTCTCTTTGAAAGAAAAAAAATGAACAATGAAAAAATTGATGGGCTAGCTGGGTGTAATAGTACGCGTTTATGCGTGGTTCCATACTCCCGCTAGTGTAGCTCGCGGAGAGTCTGACACGGGCTAGCTTCACTAGTAGATAGCATGCGTGAGTCGATACACACCCTTCATTGTGACTTCTTGTGCTTCCAAGGTACACAGAGCAAGCGGACCCAGCCGAGGTATATACGCCTGTGCTAATTTGGATATTGGCTTGTTCACTTGCTTTTCACACCATAACTTTTGAACGCAGGACTTATAGGAGATCGCCTTTTTGTAAATGAAGCCAGCTGTTTTGTTGTCTCGCTGCGCATAGTCGCAGAAAACGTGGTAACAAACAGACTGACTGACACACACAAGGGTCCTAGGTCCTTGTCTTGTCTCCATGCATATTCTACACTTTATTAACTCATTTTTTTATTTAATTGTCAACTTTCCTTTTTTGTGGCATTGGGGCATAAAAAGTAACATTGCCTCAGACTCTTTGTCGTCGTTCACATATCCTTTCATTACCACAAGTACACAAGTGCACCAAGTTTCACTGTTAGAGGACCCACAATAAGCAACCTATAGGCACAAACATCACTTGCAAGATTTTATTGCCTGAGGCTGTTTGTTGTTGTTTACAAACTTGTAATTTATTTTTCGATGAACTCTTATCATGGTAAATCAGTGTACCAAGTGTCATTGTTAGAGGACCAACGATAAGCAAGTTATAGGCACAAACATTATTTACAAGTTTTTACTGCCTGAGGCTGTTTGTTGTTGTTTACAAACTTGTAATGTGTACATGTTGATACTGCATATTTGTACAAAGTTTTATCGTTCTGGGTGTTAGCACACTTTATTGGTCTATGTCACAATGTATGCCCTGGGTCTATTTTTTGGTTTTGTTGTTTTACAGGTAAACAAAATTGTTTAAAAACAAATTAAAATGCTCTTGCATGCCGGGGACTTTCTTGAATTAAGCCATTTTTTGGATGCATGCTTTTTTGATGATACGGATCAAACTGATATGTCAAAATGTTTATCTGATTGAAACTGAAAGTGAAACGTACGAATCTGAAATGTATGGGCATAATGCGTACCGTACTTAGTGATAAGCAACAGGAAACTCACCTCAGTGCAAAAATATTTTTACTTACTCCACTACAGCCAGAAAACCTTCTGTTGGACAGCAAGGGATTTGTCAAATTGGTAAGCCTCTTTTCAGATGCACAAGTGTGTGCATAACCCATCATAGTAGTATAGACATTATTTCCACACCCCTACCATACGTACATATTTCTGTTATATAACTGCTGGTAAAAGTGTGCAACATCCACTTGAATTATCCACGATAATATTGATGCTAGCTACAACACCACGTTTTCTTACATATACAGCCCTTTGTGACATTCATCTGAAACATTTCAATCAAAGCGCTAGCGGAGTTCAAACATTTTGACGTTTATACGAATCTCCATGTTAGGGATGGTGTGATAATGCAGTATGTATGATCTCTAAGACAGGTGTGATCTGTATGCTAATTAGACACTCTCTATATGGATGGCACTCAAATCTCACATGATCTGCATACAAAAAGCTTAAAAACTCGGTGAGAATGACTCGCTTTGCCTTCAAAAGACACTAGCAATAGAGTACTGTCCCATATCTAGCTATTTGTACGTACCCTCAGCTCTTCACCGATTTCGTATTCTTCTTCAGTAAACTTGCTATCTCCTTACCGGAACCAGTTGAACTCTGGTTGCGCTTCCGATGACTCGGCATCCTGTTTCGGAGTCTTATGTGTTCTCACCAGACGTGTGAGAGTCTGGTCTTGTAGTCTCTTCTGGTGGTGTTCCAATATCAACCTCTATTGGTCTAGCATGGAGAAACACAAGCATACAGTTTCCCAGCTGTTTTTTCGGAAAGGGGTTTCGTTTTCAGTTACCCTGTATATTATAAGGAGGATAGGAGCAGTGCATACCCTTTCCATTGGTAGTCACATTCTCATACATGCTGTATGCTTTGTTCTATATACCACACACTTATGTATATAGACAGCAGGCTTCTGCATTGAACCTAGCGCAATGTCATCAAACTCCATTTCCCTGCTGCCTGGAGATATCTGCAGAAAAATTGATACAGTGAGATTGGAGCACCAAAGCTCTTTGTGACTGCTCTCTAGGAAGTGAAGACAATCTGACGCTACAGCCACCACTTATCATGGAGACTCGTGAGATGTTCCTGGCACATATTTCCTACTCTCAGATGTTACTTGGCTGCTAAACTGACGATGTTACTGGTGTAAGTTACTTGCAAACCCTGATCACTTCTTGGCACTGACTACATTCCTTGGTTTTGTGAGATCTTTTCCTTGCTGATCGTAGTTACTCCACATGTGACCCTTTTCCCTTTTTGTTCGCTGTCTGAGGGAAGATAGCCATTTATTTTTCATGGCCACCTCCTTAGTGATATATTGTGAAGAGGTCATTTTCTCTGAGTATTTCCTGTCTGGTTTTGTACCACATGAGAATTTGAAATTCACTCCATCCGTGAGGCTAGAGTACTTCTCGGAGTTGAAGCATCCACCAGAGTTATGACCTGGAAACATTTATCGGTGGCCTTTCATCCCTTAGACATTGGTGACTGGTTGCACCTGGTGCCACTACGGCAAAATTAGAATCATTAGGTGCTAAAAGAATGGCTGTGTCTCCAAATTGTGTGGCAAGTCATCCATAGAATCATCACCAACCTCGGCGGCATTCATAGTGTTGGATGGTGATTGAGGGATAGCACTTAGTATGTGTTTAACCTCGAGGTCTTAGGACACTTTCTCTCTTCAAACGATCATTTTTACACAGAATTGGGGATAGCAGGTTGAAACCACTATGATAAAGGTGTGGTTATGGTGGTACTATTATTTGACATGACTCGATAAGTGCAATGGCCTCTAACATTGCAGACACTTTTAAGGTGTGAGAATCCAGGATGGTTCACTATGCCTCGGGATCCAACTCTTATAAGACTAGGCTGTATCCCGGGCTCTTTTCTGCAGTTCTGAGTATATTGCCCATTTCCTACCTTGTGCCCAATTCAAGTGGTCTCAAAGAAGTTGTGTGATTCTTAAGCTGCGGCGGTCGTCCACCACACATTTAGGACAATAGAGACATTGTTGGAGAGGTCAGAGGTCATTTTCGCAGGTGGTAGGTGGCTATAGAGACTATTATTCTCCGGCACAGCGTCATAGCAATGGTCTAGCTCTCTCTGTCTCTCTCTCTCTCTCTTTGGCCAGAATAGGTGGAAGAAAATCCTGCAGTCTCTTCGGGGTCCACTCCTCCCTCCCAACCTGTATAGCTACATATCGCCTCCGCTTTGTCACTTATTCCCTGGAATCAGCCTCTATAACACCAGTTACACTCAGCAAGATGGAGAGATTTTTTGTCTCACAACGAGGTCGACTGGACGAAGGCTGGTCAAGACGATGTTTGTGGGGAAGTCGTACATGTCACCCAAGTCCACTGTCAAACTGTGACAATCCAGGGAAATTGTTCTGAACAAACTGAAATGACCTCAAGGACCCGGTCATAGCCTGGTGTTGTAGCAGCCTAGTCGTAGAAGTTGTTCGTAACATGGTACTATAGAAGCCATAGAAATCATAGGCCTTGCTTGTAGTACTTCTGCTAGCACCTCTGTAGCTGGGAGTATATAATGAGGCGCTGCTGAGTCAGCACACTATACACTCTGGGAATGTTGTAGCTAGAACAATGTCATTTCTAAGCCATACGTGTCTACAGGTAACCTCGTTCTCAGGCTGTCCCTCTCAGCACAAAATTTTAACATATGACCTTTGAACCCCCTCAACGTACGCTAAATATAAATCATATGCTGTGAGGGAGAGCCGACAACTCTGCGCGAGAATTTGCTCACATACTTTTTCACTATGTCCTTACTGGAACAAGTGTAGTCACCAAACGTCTTGTAGCTCAGTGGAGGTGTGCATCGTATGCATACGAACATTATCCTCTCACCTACAGCAGATTATGTTGAGCTCTCTGCGGTTCACACCGAACGACGCCATTCTTCTGGTAACCTAGCATGTGCAGATAAAGTGTTAATTGTCCCGGTTGATTGGTCAGCGGCAGCAATATCTAGACTGGTAAGTCTGGGGTAGCCACCCCCATCTCATTATTGAGAGGGGAATGCTACATACGACAGACTAGGAGACTGGTGGGGAGCTTCCACTTTCTTCGACAGTGCCACAGTGCTGCATTGTTTGCTTTCTCCTTGCCATGCGAGACTATAGGCAGGTTGGACGCGGCTAATCGGCACATGTTGCTGTATACACAGCACTGTACAATATTGAGTGGCTATGCATGTAGCCTCGGAGCTGTTAATATTATTTCTTCTAAATTAAGGGTGTGGCTCTAGGCACAAAAAAGAAGGGAGCAGTGGTTAGTTACAAAGCAAAGACATACAAAAAAGCTATGTGGCCTCTTGGTCCTTTACACTCAGACAAAGACATGTACCTTTGTACTAACCCATGTTCTATTCCTTTTTGGTGCTTCAAGTCATTCGTTCATTTTGATTTTTCCACTTGACTGGAAACCAGTCACTTACAATGTGTGAGCAAATCAAGGGTGCGTGCTCCTTTAGGGTGTCGGATACGGCCTTGGCTCACTTGTATGCCAAAGATAATGTAAACATTCAGCAACAATTGCTGAGGGCAAAGCTTTTTGTAGTGTGAGCATAATTGCAGTGTATGGTTTTTACATACTCTACCATAGGTCGATTTTGGCTTTGCAAAAGCAATAGGGCCAGGTCGCAAGACGTGGACATTCTGCGGTACTCCAGAATATGTGGCACCCGAAATTATACTGAATAGGGTAAGTTGAGTGCACTCTTAAGGACAGTACATAGGTATTGATTGGCTTTACAACACAATTTTGTTTTACTTCAAGGGAATGTATCAGTACATAAGGGCTAAATTTAGAAGTGTTACTAAAGATAGAACTAAGCAATAAGGCCCAGTGCAACAGTAGCTTCCATTTTGAGTAATAGTTTCTGAATTTAGCCCTTACATACTGCCATGTTCCCTTTAAGGTGTGGAAAGGTGCATGAGTACCGAGTGACTCTTGTTATATTGTACCTTACCTCTGGTCTCTTACATTGTAGCTTGCCTCCATGTACAAAGGCATTGTTACCCGGTCTTCTTCATACTGTGTACATTGAGACTGGACTTTCCCAGGCCCCACAAATATATACGCATGACCTTTGAACCATGCGCAAAGTTAAGGAGGAAGAAGGCCTGGAAGATTTTAATCACGTGATATGTGCCATTACATTATAATGTATTGTTATTTGTGATTGACACTGACACATGTGATCCATTACAATATATCGGGGTTCTCCCTAGAAAAAAACTAATGAGAGGAGGAAGCTCCTATACGTAGCTTGCAGGTGCTCATTGTCAATATTCTGCGGGAGCTCGTTGTCACTACCTTTGTTGTCCCGTCCGAGTTCCTTCTCACTCACGCAGAGTAGCTGATTATCACCTTCAGAGAGAAGCTCCATGTTGTTGCACTCATCTGCCTCGCTGCTTCATGTATAATAGCTTGTGATCTTCACCATCTCTTTGCCATTATCTCGCTCTCATTCTTCAGAACACGTGCTCCGTGCGTGTAGTCGCGCACACGCACTAAATTTAATACCACGCGGGGGCGTACTAGCTAATGCACGGAACTGCGCCGCGCTTGTGCGCTCTAAGGAGAACACTGTATATTGTCACATATCATGTGATGAAAATCTTCCAGGCCTTCTCATCCCTCCTTAACTTTGCGCATGGTTCAAAGGTCAGATGTTTGCGGGGAGGAGGGAGAAGGTAACCTCGATCCCAGGCCTTCTCCCTCCTCGCAAATTATATACGTGTCACTTTTGAACCATGCTCTCGGAACCCAGGCTTTCCCCGTTTATAGTATAGTACACATGGGCATGTGCGGAGTAATCTGCGTGGGCGATCTCCACGAAGAATTAACAGGGAAGGTCTATTAAAAATAGGCTCTGGACCTACGTCCCCTTTACATAAGCTTTACCGGTACACGCAGGCAGTCCGTACGCACATACGTACACGACCCGAATAAGCTGTTCAAGTGTATCTTAGTCATGGGTCGCGGTGTATGCTCCTATCCTTCTAGGTACACGACAAGTGCCGCCTCAGGACAGAGGAAACGCGGGAGTACCTATCCTGCAGTGTATGTATGGAGTGTGTGCGTGTACCGGTAACGCTTACATAAAGGGGGCATAGGTACAAGAGCTTACCTTCACGTGATGTTTAAGCCCAGGCCTTCCCCGTTCTTAGCGGAGATCGCCCACGCTCACGCGTACTATATTATACACCACATTGAACGGGGAAGGCCTGCATATAAATTAAGCACCCTATAAAATTTGATAATAGAGCCCCTCACCTAATATTTTGCCTTTCGGTTAAGCCTTATTCCTGAACACAACGCTAACTAATATTGTACAACATTTTGCAATGTCACAGTATTTTCTCTTCCCTGCAATGTGATGATACCGAGCCAAACGTGAGTATGTTCACAAAATCCCATCACGTCGCGTCATGGGCTCCTGCGATGTGTTGCTTTAGGAGGTGTATGGCACCTTTCAAGTCTTTTGTACACGGATCAAAGCACCACAAGTACTTTAGTTGCACAGTGCTGTAGTATAAATTGCTGCCAAACAGCAGGCAATGTCGGTGACTAGCCATGTGACGGCCTGCTCTGCCTTTTTTCCTGGTCATAATGCCATTGACAATGAGCACCTGCAAGCTACGTATAGGAGCTTCCTCATACACAGTAAAAAGCTCGAAAGGGACATTCTGTGATAACAGTACTCTAGGCTGGTCTGGCTCTATGAGTAACTTTTATGACAATTAAAGCGCAGAGAGACTTGACGACCCTCATTACGATACAGCACTATACTTTCTCTAATATCAAAAGTGATACACACACTCACATAACATGAAACATCCTTACATTGTTCATCTAATATTGCATTTTAATCTTGATGCTAATATATAGTTTTCACTCATTTCGACGCAGGGTCATGATTTGTCTGCTGACTACTGGTCACTGGGAATCCTAATGTTTGAGCTACTCACAGGAAGGTACAGTGTGTACCCTTGCTATGTATGCACTATTCACATCCAGACTTGATCACTGTGTGTGTTGTAGCAGTGAATGCTTGGCCTAATATTGGTCATGGGGAAGGCTGACACCAAAAATGGTGCATGCAGTGTGTTGGACAAAGTTGCTCTTCGTATCAATGGAAAATTGGAATCGTGGTTGAAAATGTTAACCAGTTACTGCATACTTTTTACGCACAATTTGAATGTGCGTGTACAGAAATCAGAGAGCCACGTTTTTACTACTCTTCCGTATTGTTATACACCGGCTGGCAGTATATACTACATCCTTAAGTATACAACATATAAATACTATTATCTAGATTCTCAGAAATGCTCTAGTAATTTCTACCAGACGTTTCGACTGAACGTGCAGTCCTCTTCAACAGGTGACGATGACTATTGAAGGCAGCTCAGATCAGGCAATAAATATGAAAAGGGGGACAGGCAGTCAGATGTGTATAAGTAAAAGAAACACTTCGCTTTGTCCACGCCATTCATGTCCTAAAAAGGGGCATGGTCGCATGGCTTGAAGTGCCTAATTGCTACAGTAGAGGTAAATAGTGCCATTTTGCGATTATTGTTGTTGCCAAACATAACGTCATACTCATCGTGAGGAAGTTAAATACATCTTCACTACTTCAGCCAAGTTCTAGTTCAGTGCCTGAGGCTATTTGTAATCACATTTAGAGTGATAAGTACTAAGTTAAATATCCATGCGTAATGCAGTTTTTTGTGAATGATATGTTGTGTATTCCCAATGTCACCATCACCAATACTTGTTTATAGACAACACAGACCAGGCACCTTTATTTATTTATTCATTCCGAAGTCTTCACTACTTATGAATTTAAGTGTCGCCAGTCTTTTCTGGACAAATATCTATGCTCTGCAGAATTTTAGTTTCTTTTTGTTGGGTTTTTGCAGTCCCCTACCTCTATGAGGATACCATACAATGCCTTACTGAGTAGCCGAACATTCCACACTAAGTAGGTACGTACTAGCGCACTGAGTGTTTAGGACACTGTGATAGTGCCCAAAGTTACATCATTACAAATGTTTTTGGGGTGTCTGGTTATCAACCGTGTCGGCGTGAAAACCTGCATTAGTAGCTGTGAAAACTTGTATAGACCATCATACACAAGCAGGCATTGGATTTACAGGCATTCAACTTCTGCTGTCAATAATGTATGTATTCTCTTATTCCTTGCAAAGGTGTCAGGGAATAAGTATATACATTTTGTTGCCATGTTACCAGCAGCATTAACAAGTGTGTCCCCTGGCATTGACCGTACCTATGCAGGATGGTTAAACAGCTCTTGGCTGGATCTGAATCTGCATGGATACCTAGTTACATGACTTACATACTAGAGAATAAGGCAACGTACAAGCTGCATAATGAATACTTTGGATAGAACCTCCTGCCACCATTACACACGAGAGCCCCACCAGTTTTTACCCCAAATGGCACAAGATACATGATACTAAATATTCCTCAAGCTACAAAGCAGTGTAATGACATCTTGCAGTTTGTGGCTCTTTCAGCCGGGATTAACGCAAGCCTGACCTTCCCTTGCAACCCTAACCACCTTTAAACATAACTTGTATACAACTTTCGAATGTTCCAGCCCTCCATTCTGTGGTGCTGATCCAATGCGGACTTACAACATCATACTAAAGGGAATTGATGCCATTGAATTTCCCAAACGGATAAGCAAGTGGGCTCAGAATCTGATTAAAAAACTCTGCAGGTTTGTATTTTTAATGTTTAGCTAGCTTAGAAAGCTTTTTCCTAAAGACAACTAATATACTTTAAAGGCAACTAAAAGTTAACTCTTTCTAATGTCAACTAAATAATTACACTTTCAAGTTCACCCTAAATATCACACTGTTATGCAGAGATAGCCCAGCAGAAAGATTGGGGTACTTGAGAGGTGGTCTCAGGGACATTAAATGTCATAGGTGAGTAAGTCATGATTACTGCATTCAAAACCACTTATTTAGATTAACTCACATGCAAACTGAAATGTGCGCAATTTTGTTCCATGCATTTAGTAATCTAAATGCAGGGAGACCATGAAGCTAATTTCTAGGGCTGGGGCGAAGATATTATCGCATACTATTTAAGATCTTAGGTAAATTTAAATATCATAAGCAATATTTTAAGTCAGTCTGTATGTGTGTGTCCATGGCAGCTCTGAGCATCAGACGTGGATATATATGCAGTGAAATAGCAATTATTATTCTAAAGCGCTACTTATACAAAATAAATCCCGGTATGTAAGAGAGAGTGTACCGCTCTTGGCAAACCCCGGTAAGGCCTTTTTGGGTTTTTACCCGCATCTACCTATACACCCTCTTTTGTACCCGTTGGGATTACAGTTTTTAAAACCTTGCTTGTGGAAGTGGAAGTTTTTGTGATTTTCTCAGATAAGATCTACTGCATTTGTTTTTAGGCCTTATATTGGCATATTCATATTCCTCCTCCATACATCATTCTCTGAGGGAGCAGAAACGAGTACGTGACTTCACCGGGAGCGTAAAGTTCCTCGCAACTATGCGCAGTTGCCTTGTTCTTGCCTCCTACGGTAGACGGAAGCATATTCTGGCCAGCACAAAAGATGGTAATGGCCACATTTTTAGCATTACGTTAATATAACCTTTTTAACGCGGGGGCCATGCCTATTTTTCCCACTATATTCAAATGCACCGGCACTTACCTTAGGACGCGGAGAAAGCAACTGCGCATAATGGCTAAAAACCCGTTCGCTCCTCTCGAGAAGTCTCTTCCCGTAGAGAATGTATGGAGGAGAATATGAATTGTTAAAGGTTTGTAAAGCATGGGCTAAAGCAAAGTGAAATATTCACTATCAATATCAGTCATGCTATCAAAAAAATGTCTGACACATCAATCCAATTGGAAAATCACACAAAAACTGTGCTGCACGCGTTTTAAAGTAGAAACAGCAGTAGATGACTTCACTACAGGTGGTTTGAGGGATTCGACTGGATTGGGTTACAAAAGCAAAAGCTTATTCCTCCAATTATTCCAACAGTAAGCTAAAATGATTGTATTCCCAGGACATTCATATCCTCCTTCTATTCATAGGTTCGAAGTGCCATAGACACATCAAATTTTGATCACTTTCCTGCTAGCCAGGACGAGACTCCTCCTGATGATCTATCTGGTTGGGATGCAGAATTTGGTACTGTCGAACCCACTCCTTGTTGGTTAAACCATTAATTTTAATTTTCACTTAGTATAGAGAAATGCCTACAAACTTATAAAGGTCTGTTTCATTTTTATACAAGCATTTTAGTTTTTAAACTCCTTTTTTGCAGCCTATAAACCAAGTGTCAGTCTCACTCAACAATTTATTTTTGAAAAAAAATTTATTTCACTTGTGTCAATGTTTACCAACTACATTTCACGTTATTGATTGTGGCTACATCCTTGGGTACAGAGTCCTCAGGGAGGGGGGAACATTTCTCTCCTAGCTCAACAACAGTTAATTGGCTTTGCAAACTGCATGAGCCAATTACGTCTTTGCGTAAAGGCTGAGGTCGTCCATTAATGATTGGGTCAACTTGAATGACATTCAAATAGACAAAGCTAGCTTAGGGCACTCAACAGATGTCGTCATAATTCTTCAGCTATAAATGTTCGGTCAGTAACCTTACCTCACCTGTTGTTTCATTCCAGGTTATTGTAATCATACATACATTTTACCCATATAAATGTTCACTATTAATGGAATAATCAAATAGCTGTGTGATCAAAAGAATGTGTCACGAAGGATCTCGTGAGCATCTACGACTATAGCTTTCACCTATGTGCTGAACTAAATTACATGTGATACCTTAGTATGAAAAGCACTAAAGTGCAAACCCTCAGCGAACTGCGCATATATACCTCTAATTGATGGGCTGGGCCTATTAGTCTGCGTTTACCCATGATTTCCCGCTAGTAGCTCGCGGAGAGTCTGACACGGGCTAGCTACAGTAGTAGATAGCATGCGGGAGTCGATACACGCCCTTCGTTGTGGCTTATTGTTCCTCCGAGGTACACAGAGCAAGCGGATCAGGTCGAGGTAAGCTAGTGCTAATTAGCATATTGGCTTGTTCACTTGGTTTTCACGCCATAACTTCTGAACGCGGCACTTTTACGAAAATCGCCATTTTAAAAATCAAGCCAGTGTAGCGCTGAACCCGTTGGTGTCGCTATTTTACCTGTTTGTTGCGCGTGGTGGCAGAAAACGTGGTAACAGATGGACAGACAGACAGACGGACAAACTATATACTGCGCAGCGAGGGTTAATAACAGTTCTAAAGCACCAAAGTGCAAGCCCTCGGCGAACTGCGCATGCGCTAATTGATAAACTGGGCTATTATACTGGTGGCTAGTAGCCCGCAGAGAGTCTGACACGGGCTAGCTACAGTAGTAGATAGCATGCGGGAGTCGATACACGATGTTGGTTGTGACTTCTTGTGCCTTCAAGATACACAAAGCAAGCGGAATCGATCGAGGTAAGCCCAGTGCGATTATATATGCATAAGGTAAAATGGGGGTAACTCCGGACGCGAAGGTAACTCCGGACATGGGGCGTTGCACAAGCCTCGAAATTATGCGCAGCGAAAAAAACCCGAGGAAGATTTGTTGCCGCTTTGGCAGGTAGTAATCGAGTGAAATATATCCGAATCTTTCTCTTGTTTCTGAATAGCGAGTTATGTCCGGGCGTTACCCCGTGTCCGAAGTTACCCCCATTTTTAACTATTGGCTTTTTCGCTTGTTAACCCTCGGCGCGCATGCGCAGCGAGGGTTACGGTAGTTGTCCCGTAAGTGTGTCTGTCATTCTGTCATTACCCTCGGCGCGCATGCGCAGCGAGGGTACTGTAGTTGGGTCTGTCTGTTTGTCTGTCTGTTAGTCTATATCTCACTCCTCGAACGTCTGTTCGTCCCAGAAACGATACCATCTACCCAACGGGCGACGAAGGTCAGAAAATAAAGGCGGTTTTCTCTGAAATGCTCCGTTGCAAAGCTAGAGCGCGAAAAAGCCAATATGCAAATAACACAACGGACGGGATGGCTTACCACAGTCGAATCGATCCGCGTGCTCTGCGTACTTCGGAGGCACCAGAAGATGCAACGCAGGGCGTGTATCGCCTCTCGCATGCTATCTAGTAGTGTAGTTAGCCCGCGTCAGACTCTGCGTGAGCTGGCAAGAGACCACGAGTAACAGCTAAAACTAAACCCAGCCCATCAATTAGTGGTACGGCGCATGCGTTTACTTACGCGTGCGCGTCACAGTGCGCCGAGGGTTTGCACTTCAGTGCTTTTCATTCTGTCTGTTACCACGTTTTCTGCCACCGCGCGCACGAAATCAGGTAAATAGCGATATGATCGAGTTCAGTGCTACACTGGGTTGATTTTAAAAAAGGCGATTTTTGTAAAACTACTGCGTTCTAAAGTTATGGCGCGAAAACCAAGTGAACAAGCCAATATGGTAATTAGCACAGGCTTACCTCGACCGCGCGCTCTGTGTATCTTGAAGGCACAAGAAGTCACAACGAAGGGCATGTATCGACTCCCGCATGCAATCTACTACTGTAGCTAGCCCGTGCCAGACTCTCCGCGAGCTACTAGCGCGATACAACGAGTAAAAAAAAGAAAAGCCCAGCCCATCAATTAGTGGTACGGCGCATGCGGAGTTCGCCGACGGTTTGCACTTTAATTTTAACGGCATATCTGTCGAACGCAGTCGTTTCAGGAAAATCGCCCTTTTACTTTTCGGGCTCGGGTACTTCTAAAGCCGCTGGTATCGCTAATAGGCCGCCTCATAAGCGTCGACACACAGACCAACTACTGTAACCCTCGCTTCGCATGCGCGCCAGGGTTAAACGCTAAAAAGCACTGAGTAAACCCTCGGTGTCGGTGAACTGCGCGCGCGTGCGCGATACCGATAATTGCTGGGCGGTGTGTTTACTCGTGGTCTCTATGCTAGTAGCTAGCGGAGAGCATGACACGGGTTGCTACAGCAGTAGATTAGCATGCGGGAACTTGTGTAACAGAGCAGATCGACTACTTAGCTACGTG